GTGACTGAGTTCGCGGCTGCTATCGCATGCATGCTGTCTCTCCGCTCAAAGATGTGCATGGACTGGGCGACAAAGTAGTGATACTCCCGTCTCCATACTCCGCGCGCGCTGTCCCAAGGTGCATTTTTGGGGTGAATATCATCAAGGACCCGCAGCGAAACAGGCTCTCAATGGCAGAGCAACCAAAAGTCGCACAGAAGGCACTACTGGCACGTATGGCTTTGGCTAGGTGTGCGGCTGGCCATGCGGCAAAGCTGGTGGAGTATGGAAACGGCACTCGGACACCGCTGCCCTTCAGCCCAGTTGCCGTACCCTGAGCAGAAGAAAGTGACACGCTTGTGCAGCTGTGGGCCCTCACACGTGGAAAGGCACCAGAATCGTGGGTGCAAAGCTGTCCTTGAGACCGAATCAGAAGTAATTCCAACTGGAACAGAGTGAGCCTCCATTCTGCACACAAGGGGAACATAACATGTCGAAGTTTTTTTCCCCTCAGAGAACGCTCACCCATGTGACTCCTCCGGTATTGTTAGTAGCTTAGGAAAATTCTGGAACTTAGGACCGGACTTCTTCACCCACACTGTTTCACCAAGAGGGTTTTTATCACTCATCATTCATCCCTTTACCGTCTCCAGATCGTTTGTGTAAAAACTAACAAAGTAATTTATGAAGTTGTTTACCGGTATCCTGTGCCCCACAACCCCTCAAGCACCGGATGACGTTCCACTGCTAGCAGAAAGCATACAACAAATGAACTCGGCTGAAGTGGACGGCTACCGAGGCGAAGATTCGCAGATATACAGAAGATATGCAGGCGTGCATGGTCGATAAGCCCAGCACGAAAGAATATTCGCTTAGCAGGCGCTGCGCGGCGCCTTCTCTAATCAAGGGCAGCGCCTAATCAAGGTAAAACTGCCGACCCAGACTCCACCGCGACCGCCAGCCCGCAAATGGCCGAACATTCACTTCGACTTTGGTACTCTTATCGCTTCATTTACGAAGTAATCGATGTGAAGCGTTGCTACATGGATGTATGAATACATACGTGCAGCCGTATGTGTCGAGGCGATGGTTGGCACGACGCCAACGGGGAACTCGTCTAGAGATGTTCGCCCATGCCGTGCAGAACAAAGGTTTTCACTATTTTATGGCAGTTCACACTCCCTTTTTCCCCCACTGAATAGCACCCCAATATTTTTGAGCGAGTACCAAATTATCGTGCCCATTTTCTTCGAGGGGCTTAACCATAAGTCATCGCAATGTTGTTGGTAGAATCTGCCTCAAAATTATATACTCAGAATACGTGTAGGTGATTTCTTCAATGGGTTTCTGAAAACCCTTAATTATTTTAGGGTTACGAGTGTGTCTGTCCTATAGAATACGCAGGGGAGCACTGCGAAAGAAGATCCGCCTTCTGCAAGAATGGTAAGAACATAAGACGCTTCTCTGTAATCAGTTGTGATCAGGTTTGGGAGAGCTTACAACATTCCAGAGGATTGCAATTCTGGTATATGTGAAGAGGCGGGTGACACATGGTACTGCGTCTGTCCAATGAACGCAACTGGATTACGGTATTTTGCTTGAAGTTGGGAACGCTTCTGTAATGACACTTGTGATACCGATTCCAGATGCGAAGTACCGGTTGAATCCATGACTAGCGGCGTAGGTTTCAAGGCTGAAAGTTCTTTTATGGCAATGCCCAGTCCTAAAGATTTGGATCATTTCCAGGTAATCTTGAGGTCGCTTTCTAGTTATCACTCTGAGAATGCTCTTTTTTTCTCAGGTTTCTATGAATCTGAAACCCGAAGACGTAGATCACGACCGTATGCTGTTATATGTAGCAGCCGATTACGATCCTGAATCGAAGAAACACTTGAGTGTCTCTGTCACTGACGGTTCAATCGTGTATTCATATAGTGACGGAGAGGGTGAGTCGATAGAAAATCCCAAAAATGCAGAGTTAAAGGGCAAATTGCTCGCTCCAAGCAAGAAATCTAATCTGGACCTCAAGCTTACCGGTACAGTCTGCTGGTTCACCCATAATTCACACATTAATGGACGGCTAATCGAACCTTATTCGCATCGCGGATTGTTGAAAACAGCCGCTTTCACATCCATAATGTGGAAGAAATTTTTTGCCCTTAATATGAGCCCAGTTCCTCTACTGTATGTAGTTGTGATACATTTCTATCAACTATCAATTTCCCCGTGGTAGAGAAGAACGCCGCTTGTGGTTGGTGTTTCTGCGGCTCTCGCTTCATCGCTTGTTCATTCATTACTAAAGATCCGGAACCCTGAAGTACTTTGATCTTTTCTTCTGTTCGTTTCTTCGTTAACGCGTGGCCCCTGTGGTTTTTGTCGCAACCAGTCGTGTGGGTATTTGGAGGGGCGGTTTGAACCCACCTTCCGCTGCCTCACTCTTCTAATGGTGATTGATTAAGGGAGAACAACCATAGGGGAGAACGTCGGAAGTGAGCCCATTGCACCCTCTTGGAACCGCCCCTACTGGTTATGACGATACCAACTTTACAGATTCATTGTTGCTCCTCACTACTCGCGATTTGCAATCGCGGAATATGATTATGAACAGAAGCGAAGTTAAGGCAAGTTTTAATATCTGTAGTGAAGACGGCATGAAGGAGACTGCAAGAACTGGTCGCTAATCATTCATTTCTAGGATGCGAAACACCTGCGCCCCATTCGAGCTAGTAGTGTACAGCTGCGGGAAAAAATTGGAACTAGGCAAAAAAAATCGGAATTCTCTATCGAATTGTTACTTGCTTTTCCTTGACCTGTGCACCGAAATATTGTGGATGTAGACAACGTATGCCTGAAAGAACTGTTTCGAGATCAGCAATAGCGACCCTGAGCAAATACAGAAGTACGTGAAATCTAGGTTCCGGCACCCAAGGCCAGCATCCGGATGACAAAATGACCGAGTAAAAGCCTTCACCTCAACCCCATCAGGCATCTTGAGATGACTTGAAGCATGAGTCAAAGGAAAGAAGACCACCAACACGATTGAGCACCTCCATGCATTTTAGAGGAACTTGGAGCAGATATCCGTGGATACCCCTGAAGCTCCTGTGGAGTCGATTCCACGGATGATGAAGGCTCTAATCAAGTCCAGTAGTAAGCAACCAAATTCAGAGCGCTGAATAGTTTTTTATTGTTGAATTCGCGCTATCCGCATACCTTTCTTTTGATTTGCTGTTGAATAAGAGCTCCAGAACTGTTTGAAGCGCGATGCGGCTTGCTCCAAGTTTTTTTTTCCCGCAGCTGCAAATCGAGTGCGGCCTGACCTAAAAAGTGACCCATGAGCTCAGTCACTG